GTGGCTTAGCCACCCTGAGCCTGAATTTTCTTACCTGTAAAATGAGGATAATACCATCTACCTTGGAGTAGGATTGTAAGGAGTAAAGCAAATAATGCAGGTATGGAATTTGGTGCATAGTAGGCACTCAAAAAATGGTAAGTCATCATCCTGTACATGATAAGTATAGGAGAAGTAGGAAAAGAGAATTCCCACTTTATAAGTGTCTGCTGTGTGCTAGGGAGTGTAGCTGGTGCTTACTTAAACTTATCAGCTCAGTGACGCCAAGCTTCTGCAGTGGTCCTAGGGCTGGAAATTGGCACTATTTATGTGACACTTACATTTATACTTTTGCTTCTTGTATCCATGGTTGGTTTCCTTCTTCTGGTCCTCCCTGGGCCTCAGGCCTTCAGTCTATTATGACGATGGTTTCTCTGTAGTGAGTGATGGGAAAGTGGGGAGTGGTTTGAGAATGTCTGAGGTTCACCAGTAGACTGTCTCCATTTCTGTTGACTCACCCTCAACTCCTCATGAAGAGCTGGCCTTCATGAAGTATCATCTGCAGGCTGGTAGGAAAACATCTTAGGAGAGCATTTTAGGATCATGCTGTGTTGGATTAGAAAATGACTATGTGACCACTAGGGGTGATGTAATGACCTCATGGAGCAGAACCATGCTTCCCTAAGATTCTCCTGTCCCCTCCCACACAAGGTCAAGTTCCCTAGTAGCAGAACCTGAGATGTGCATTCTTGTACTAGTGCTAGACTCAGGGGATGCTCCAAGGAGGAACCTGCTAGGGAATGAGGGAAGCAGGAAAGGGCAGCAGAGGAAGCTAGGCGAGGGCGTGGCTTCACCTGAAGTCTGGCCTCAGCCCAATCCTTGGGGAGCTCTGGAGTGTGATGGTAGCACAAAGCCATCTTACCCTGGGAGAAGGGGGCTGTATTTTTCTACCCTCCTCTTGTTCATTAGCCACTGGCTTTGTGCTGCTCCCTGGTATCTCCGGGCAAAGCAGCTCCTGTTGGGTGAGGGCGATTCTCTGGAAAATGGTGCTGCTATGAGCCCTTAGTGTAGCCCTTCGTGGCTAATACTCCTAGAGGTGGGAATGGGAGGATGCACCAGCTGTAGGGGGGATCCAGATGAGGAATCAACAGTGACTATTAGGGTACCTCCGCCCAACTGCATCCCCACCTCCATCCCAGAACTGCCGGTGGACACATGCCCTCCTTTCCCAGGGCCTATTTCTCTAGTTGTTCAAATATCCTTGATTGCTTGAACATTTTCCTCTTCTGGTCCGGGCCTGGTAGATTGGGGTAAGCAGTAGATAAAGAGTCCAATGCTGGGATGTTAAGTGCATTGAGAGCCCCAAGTGGCCAAGCTGAAATAACCAGGGCTGTCCAGGGTGGCTTTTGGCCTGGAGGGATGGAGCTAGGTGGTTTCCACTGGCTGGTCAGCCAGTGAGTTTAGACTTTGCAGGTGGAATTTTAGTGGGAAACACAGCCCTGGTGTGCATGACTGAGCAAAGGAGAGTGCGAGCAGGCCAGATGCTGCCCTGAGGATGATGGAAGTTGGAGATCAGAGTTCCTGGGAGGTGATCATGTGTCTCCCTTACCCCAGACCTACCTTCGTCCCAGGGTCTCCAAGGCCAGTGTCTTCTCTCTGCTGCAAAGCAGCAGATGAAACCTTCAGTTACAGGTTCAGCTTTCTAGACCAACAGCAGCCGAGGAAGCTCATGCTCGGGGACTGAGCCTCTTTGCACTCAGCAGGGGCCAGGGGTCCTCCAGGTGGGGGGCTCCAGGGAAGTCTGCTCAGCTCTCACCACAGGCAATAATGAGACATTAAAGTTCTTTTTCAGCAAATTTCCTTCACAACAGGAGCTGTCTCTCCTTTCTGTTTTTGAAGTGGAAACAATGAAATGCCCACATTAATCTGGGAAGATTATGTTAACGACATGGGAGCAGATGAAATAGCTTTAGTGTAAGGGACCTTCTCTGCTACGGGTCCAACCAACATTCCCCTCCGGTTTCTCCCACACAAAGACTGAATAATTACAAAGGATACAGGACAGAAGAGGGAGGTCACTGTGTGTTCACCTCCCAAGTTCTCATCTATTTAGCATCACAGACAACAAGACCTACAGGGAAATCAGGAACCCCTAGACATGCTGATCTGCTTTCTATTTGTTTTTAAAATAATTACTGCAATCTCCATGTGGTCTCTTCCCTCTGACTCTTGGCGAGACCTTCAGAGGGGTGGGGTCGGGGGCAGGTTCAGAGAGAACTGAAGCCTGGCTGAGTTCAGCCGCTCTGACAGTGTTGATGGAGACTCTTTCACACATTCAGCAAATTTTCATTACGTACCGTCTAGGTGCCAGACACTATGCTAGTGTTTGAGACTAAGCAGTGAACAAAACGGAAAAAGGTATGCACATATTAGCAGGGGGATTCAAACTCTAAGCAAAGACACAAACATAAACATAAACAACTTATATTAAATTGGGCTAGTGATAAGAGCTAGGAAGAAAAATAAATCGGAGTAAAGGAGGCCAGAGTGGAGAAGCGGGAGGAAGAACTATTTTATTTATTTAGATAATTTTATTTTTCAAAAATACATATATTTTATTTTAACTTCCGGGGTACATGTGCAGGATGTGCAGCTTTGTTACTCAGGTAAATGTGTGCCATGGTAGTTTGTTGCACCTATCAGCTCATCACCTAGGTATTAAGCTCTGCATGCATTAGCTATTTATCCTGAAGATCTCCCTACAGTGACCCCCCTGTAGGAGCTATTTTAAACTGAGTGGTCAGGGAGGCCCTCTTGGAGGAGGTGGCATTTAGGAACAAACCTACACAAAGGGAGAGAGTGAGCCGAACAAGCATCTGCAGGAAGGCTTCCAGGCTGAGGGAAGAGCAAGTGGGAATGTGGGCAGGGGGGCGGGATGTCGAGGGAGCAGCAGGAAGGCCTTTGGGTCTGGGAAAGAGGGCATGAGAAGAGTGGGAGGAAAAGAGAAGGAGGCTACAGGGAGCCAGGCTGTGCTAAGGGGTTTAGATTTTAGTCTAGGAGCAACGGGGAGCCATTGAAGACTCTTGAGCAAAAGAGTGACATAGCTGACTTGCTTTTTGGGGGATGAAGGGAAGGACATGAAGTACACACATCTTAAGAGTTTAGCTTGATGGTTTTTGCAGACGTGTATACCTGGTTAGTGGCCACCCAGATCAAGATATGGAGTATCTTCACCCCATGGAGGCCCCCTCCTTCCCCTTCTGAATCAATAGCCTCCCCAAAGTAAGCAATTTATTTGCCCTGATTTCTGTCACCACCAAATAGCTTTGTCTTTTCTTAACTCTTGTGTTAATATAATCAGACAGTGTGTTCTCTTTGTTCCTGGCATCTTTCACTAAACATAACATCTATGGGTTCATCCATGGCGTTACATGGACTGTATCAGAAGCTTGTCTGTCATTGCTCACCAGCATTCCACTGTACAAATAAATCACAACGGCCTTATCTGCTCTCTGTTGATGGGCATTTGGATTGTTTCCAGTGTTAAGCTATTATGAATAAAGCTGCTACAAATATTCTTGTATATGTCTTAGAACATAAGCACTTTTTTCTTGGGTATATACCTGAGCATATTTCTGGGGTGTGTACCTGAGTAGAATTCCTGGGCCACATGGTAGATGGACTTTTAGCTTAACAGATACTGCCAAACAGTTTTCCAAAGTGGTGGCACCATTTTATTTTTTCAGTTTTATTGAGATATAACTCACAGATAATATAATTCACCCATTTAAAGTGGGCAATTCCATGGCTTTTGGTATTCTCACAGAGTTGTGGATCCATCACCATAATCAACTTTAGAATATTTTCACTGTCCTTACAAAGAAACCCTGCACCCCCAGCACCTCCCCCAGCCTGGGCAACCACTGATCTCATTTTCATCTTTTATAGATGTTCCTATTCTGTATACTTTATATAGGTGGAATCTCACAATATATGGCGTTTTGTGTCTGCCTTCTTTCACTTAGCGTCATGTTTTCAAGGTTCACCTACATCATAGCATATGTCAATACCATATCTGTTTTTATGGTGGAACAATGCTGCATTGCATGGATATACCACATTTTGTTAATCTGCTCATCAGCTGGTGAATACTGGGGTGTCTCTACTTTGTGGTTATTATGAATACTGAATGAAATGGGACAAGGGTAGATGGAGAAAGACCAAGGAGGAGTCAATTGCATTAAGTCAGGCAGGGATAGTGGCAGTTTGCATCAGCATAGTAGCAATGCAGGCTGAAAGGAGTAGGCAGATCCTAAATCTATTTTAAAGATCAAGCCAATACCATTTTCTGATAGTTTGGATGTAGAGTATTTTTTTTAAAAAAGGCAGTGACACATGGACGCAGGAAGGGGAACATCACACACCGGGGCCTATCCTGGGGTGGGGGGCCAGGGGAGGGATAGCATTAGGAGAAATACCTAATGTAGATGATGGGTTGATGGGTGCAGCAAACCACCATGGCACGTGTATACCTATGTAACAAACCTGCACATTCTGCACATGCATCCCGGAACTTAAAGTATAATAAAAAAAAAAAAAAAAGAAGAAAGAAAGAAAAAGAAAATGAAAAAAAAAAAAAAAAGGGCAGGGATGACGCCACAACAACTAAGTCAGATGACTTGCTCAGTAGAAACACCCTGGATTCGAGTTAAGAACTCTGGCCCACACACTGCTGGGGGTGCGGTGGCCTTCCCTCAACATCCCCGCAACAGCGTATGGAGGAGCTTGGATTTAGGTGAGGGGTTCTTCCCTCTGGTCCATTTCTTGCCACGGGGTAGCCGTGACTTCCAGCAAGACACTTTTCCCCCTTAGGATCTCAGATTCCCCATCTGAAAAATGGAGAAACTAGATTTAGTTCTTTCTTCTCTATCCCACTGGGTGTGTGGTATAAATCAGGGACTTGAGAACTAAGGAGTGGCTGAATGATGGGGTGATGTCCTCTCTGGGTTGATGTTTTCCAGGAGCACTAGACGTCTACCATGACTGACACCGTGTTCAGCAACAGTTCTAACCGTTGGATGTACCCCAGTGACCGGCCCCTTCAATCAAAGTAAGTTGCTGCATGTTCCTGGGAGTGGCTTGTTTTGAGTCGATGAGGTTTTGACAGTTCTACGCTTTAAAAAAAGAAGGAATCGCTTCCTTCCCTGAGGAAGGGGGAGAGGAACCTAATGGGAGTTCAGTCATGAAAATGTTTCCCGTAGTTTGACTATTTTGCAAGGTTGGAAGAACAGATTAAATCCTGAGTTTCATGCTCCGTAGATTAGGTGGCCTGGTGGACTGGAGAGAGAACTGACCTGGTGTCAGAACCAGACTTGGGTTCTAGTTCTGGATATGAGCTAATTTACTGTGTGATGATAGGCAAGTATCTTCCCCTCTCGGGGTCCTGGTTCCCTCATCGGTCAAATAAGGAAGTTGCACTAGATCAGAGATTACAACCTGGCAGACTCTGACTTGCAGAAGTGTGTGTGTATGGTTTTTTTCTTTTTTATATTTTGGGCCTGATCATGTAAAAATTGGGAGATTTCACATGAAAGTCCAGATTTCTGACATGACTTCAAAATATCAGAAGACCTGACAATACTGGACCGCAATTTTGCCAACAGTTCAGCAGAAGACAAGTAGCAGCTCATATATTTAGACTGACAAGACCTCTCCAGTTTCCCACAGTCCCCATCATTCCTTGTTGGTCTCCAATACCTGGCCTACTTCGGACATTTCTGTTACCCACCCATCCCAGTTGGTCTCCCTGGAATAGATGACCTCTAAGTTTCCTTAACTGTGGACTTCTGTCAATCTTTTGTTAGACAGTATTTTAGGGTCAGTTTAAGAGTTTAAATTCTGGGTAGGATAGTTGAAGATATGGTTATTTTTGTAAAAAGAATAAATGTCAGGGTGTAGTTGTTGTGGCTTGCCCAAAGAATGGAGAAAGGCTTTTTTTTTTTTTTTTTTTAATTTGAGACAGGGTCTTGCTCCGTTGCCCAGGCTGAAGCGTAATGGTGCAATCATAGCTTATTGCCTTGACCTCCCGGGCTCAAGCAATCCTCTTGTCTCAGCCTCCTAAGTAGCTTGGACTACAGGCATGCACCACCATGCCTGGCTAATTTTAATTTCTTTTTGTAGAGATAGGGTCTTGCTATGTTGACCAGGCTAGTCTCAAACTCCTGGGCTCAAGTGATCCTCCTGCCTTGGTCTCCCAAAGTGCTGGGATTACAGGTATGAGCCACTACCCCTAGCCTACAAAGGCTTTTTAGCAAAGATTTTTCCTTATTGGAGAGCAGTGTTTCCCTAAACTTGGTCATTCGAACACCACTTTTACAATTTTTACCTCATCTATGAAATATCATTATTGTTATTTTCTCTTAATTGGCTACTTATAAAATGTAAGCACTCTAACAAGAGCTTTTTTTAAATCACAAATGGATGTAAGTGGATAATTAGTTCATGCTTTCTATGAACAAAGGTAACCATGAAGACAAATAATTTTAAAAAAACAATGTTATTACATTCTAGCTATAAACTGTAGCCTCACAGAGGCTCTGAGCCTGAGACTTGCTTCCCACTTAAAAAGGCAACTAGCAAGTGATAGAGAAGTGTTAAAATCATATGAGCACTTTCTCCTTGAAGTACGTGAGGTTGGAAAGGAGATTGAAATGGGAATGCCTTTCTTATTATTTAATATTGCCCTGTCATTTACTGTCTGATTAATTTTTGTTCTAATTTCTATTAAATAATCCTTTCTCATTTTCTTAAGTGTATTCTATTACTTTCTAAATACTTGGGTTGTGTACGTACCTCATTAATATAAAACTTCCCTTTTTTCTAATATTAGTAATTATAAATGTGATCGACAAAGTACCACATTCAAATGATCCCACAAGCTTCAACATACAGTATTTTCATTGTTTCTCATTTCTATGTATTTTAAAATTTCTCTTATGATTTCTACTTTAACCCAAGAGTGATTTAGAGGTATATTTAAAAATTTCTAGATGTTTGAGGATTCTTAACTTATTACTTTTTTCGTTATTAAACTCAAATTTAATGGCATTTCGGTTGGAGAATATGACCCATATGATACTTCATCTTTGAAATGTGTTAAGATTTGGCTTATAACCAGATCTTGGGCTATGCTCAATGAGTACATAAGAAAAATGTGCATTCTATAATTATAGTTTGTAAGGTCACTCACATATCAAAATGAGATTATTAATTGTGTTTATAACATGTTTTTACATTTACGGCTTTTTAGTCTACTTGTATTATGCTGAAATCTCCTTCAGTCACCATGGATCTGTCAGTTTCTCCTCGTGGTTCTGTGAGATGGCTATAGGTTTGGAGTTGACCTATATTACTGAAAAGTTGAACCTTTTATCATTATGTAATGTCTCTCTTTATCTCTAATAATGATTTTTTTTGTCCTAAACTCCCTTTTGTGATATTAAAAAACAACATCAGCTTTCTTTAGTATTTTTTTATCCTTTTATTTTTAATCTTTTAGTCCTCTTACATTTCAGGTAAGGGAATATGAAGGATATTTTTAGCCAGATTTTGTTTCTTTTGTTATTGTTTAATTCAGTGTGGTAATCTTTGTCTTTTAGGTGATGATTTTAATCCATTTACAGATACTGTAATTATCAGCAAACTCTTTCTATAAAGGACCAAATAGTAAATATTTCAGGCTTTTCTGGCCATAAAGTCTCCATTGCAGCAACTCCACTTTCACTGTTCTAGTGCAAAATCAGCCATAGGCAACATGCACATCAATGGGCATGGCTTTTTTGTTTGTTTGTTTGTTTGTTTGTTTTAAATAAAAACAGGCAGCTGACTGTATTTGGCCTGTAGCCTATAGTTTGCTGATCTATTATATAGTTTAACTTTTCTACTCTCTTGTTGTTTTGGTCTCTCTTTTTCTGTGGTTCTTTTGTTTCTCTCCTTGCCTTTTATTTTTATTAATTGGTTAACTGGGCTTGGGGGTTTACAAATTCTACTTTTCTCGTTATTGGTTTCAAAGTCATGTGGTTCATTCCTATGATTTCCATAGCTATCCTTAAAGTATTACCATTCATGGCTAATCATGTCTGGAGTTACTCACTGTCTCAACATCTTCCTCTAGGTAACACAAGGTGCTTAAAACACTCTAACAACATCTTAATTCCAACCCTCCTTACCTACATACGACTCTTCTCTAGTATCTTAGTTTAATCCTTTATTTAACTCCATATATTAGACATTATTATTTTATACTGGCATTTAAAAAAAATTTTTCCTGTCTTCTAGTTTTCTGGTTCAATGTTCAAATCTTCCTGAATCTTGGTCCTTCTTGGGGACACTTTACTTCTTCCTGAAGTACAGCTTTTCATTTGGTAAAATTCTGTTGGTAAGCTCTCTCAGACTGTGTGTATCTTAAAACATCGATTTATCCCTTGTTCTTGAAGGTTGCAGCATTCTAGGTAGACTTTGAAGAATTGGTTGTGCTTTCAAGTGTCTGTTAAGAGTCTTAAGTCAACAAATTGCCCTTCCTCTGTAGATGATTTTTCCCTCCACGTAAGACCTTCTTTTTGATGTTCTGTAGAACGATGTGCTTAAGTGTATATTTCTTATTGTTTTTTTCTACTTGTTGTGTGTTGTGCTTCCTGAAACAGTGGATTCATGTTTTCCAACATGAAAAATCTAGAAATTTTCTAGTTCTAGAAAATTCTCAGCATTATCTCTTGAAATATTTTTCTTTCTTCGGTTCTCCCTATTTTCCCTATCTGGAATCTGATTAGATAAATATTAGACCTCCATGTTGCTTATTTTCTCTCTCACTTTTTTCTTTGAGTTGGGGTCTTGCTCTGTCTGTTCTCTCTTTCATATTTTATATCTCTTTACCTCTCTGCTGTATTTTGGGTAATTTCTTCACGTCTTTCATCCTGGCTATACTCTGTCTTAAAGCATATTAATTGGCCATTAAACCACCCATTGCATTTTAGAGTTTAGCAGTTACATATTTTATTTCTAAAAATTATTTTTCATTCTTTTTAGTATCTTCCTAACCATTTTTAGTCTCTTGACTCTTGCTTGTTTTAATCCACATTTTATTTCTTTAAGTATTTCACATACAGTAACTTCACATTCTGTATCCAATAATTATACCTGATTCAGTGGCATGCTGGATATGTACCATAAAAGCTCATTAGAATGGATGTTAAATTTTTAGGAATTTTGTGAGCCAGTTAATAAACATGGCCATTATTAAAAATTAAGATATATATTAGCCAGGAACTATGGCTCACACCTATAATCCCAGCAATTTGGGAGGCCAAGGTGGGAGGATCACTTGAGGCCGGGAGTTTGAGACCAGCCTGGCCAACACAGTGAGACTCCATCTCTACAACAAATTTAAAAATTAGCTGGATGTGGTGGTGCATGCCTGTGGTCTCAACTACTCAGGACGCTGAAGCAGGAGAATTGCTTGAACCCAGGAGTTCGAGGCTGCAGTGAGCTATGATTATGCCACTGCACTCCAGCTTGGGTAACAGAGAGACCCTTTCCCTGAAATGAATAAATATATATTTATAGTTAAATCATATTACACACAATGGTGATAAATATTCAAAATCAAACATGTTTCAATTATTTCACTATCTTTTTTTTTTGAGACAGAGTCTTGCTCTTTTGCCTAGGCTGGAGTGCAATGGCACAATCTTGGCTCACTACAACCTTCACCTCCCAGGTTCAAGCGATTCTTTTGTCTCCCTCCCAACGGGGTTTCACCATGTTGGCCAGGCTGGTCTTGAACTCCTGACCTCAGGTGATCTTCCCATCTTGGCCTCCCAAAATGCTGGGATTACAGGTGTGAGCCACTGCGCCTGACCTGTTTTACTACATTTTGATATTCTCTTATTTATGTCTATTATGCCTGTAAGGTGGAAATACTATATAAAGGTATGCTGCTGTACATTTATTCCCAGCTCTTCATTTAGTCACATCATGTTGGCATTTGAAATCAGCCTCCACGGGGCTCTTTCCCCAGAGAGTCAGTTGTTAAACATTTACCAGCACACCACTGCCTGAAGCTTCTGACCATGTAGGTCTGTTGTTTGTCTTTCCTGCAGATTTTCACTCATAATTACTTGCACTTTGAATGCTCAGTCTGTGAGAATCCTAGGGACCTACCTTGGGAACATTTTTCTTCAGAGGTATTTACACTTGCTTCTGCCAGGAGTGAGATGCTCTGGTCATCCAGAAACACTTTTGCTCCCTTTGAGGGTCCTGACTCCATGTGCGTATCTCCAATTCAGCTTCTGCACCTGTCAGGATCTCCACATCAGCCCCTGGAATGTAATGTTGGTATTTGCATTGGTTTATTGCTCACAGCTCCCTGTTCTGGATTCAGTTTGCTGAATTTCCTTTTTTAAAATATGCTTTATAGAGGTATAATTAATATACCTTCAACGGTACACAATTAGGGTAATTTAAAGTACAATTTGATAATTTTATATTTTTATTTTTTTAGAGACAGTATCTCACTCTGTTGCATAGGCCAGAGTGCAATAGCACAACCACAGCTCACTGTAGCTTCGACCGCCCAGGTTCAAGCAATCCTCCCATCTTGACTTCCTGAGAACCTGGGACTGTGGGTACACATTACTGCACCTGGTTAAGTTTTTTTTTTAAAATAGAGACAGGTCTTGCCCAGCCTGTTGCCCAGGCTGGTTCCAAACTCCTGGACTCCAGTGATCCTCTAGCCTTGGCCTCCCAAAATGCTGGAATTACTGGCATGAGCCACCATCAGCCATAAAAACGTGTGTATACCCATGAAATCATCATAGTAATCAAGATAATGAACATATACATCCATCGCCAAAACTTCCTTGTTACCCTTTATAGTTCCTCCTTCTTACCCCTCCCTCTCCCCACCCATCCCTAAGTCATCACTATTTAGCAATAAATTTGTTTGCTTTTTCTGGAACTTCATATAAATGGAATCATCCAGTGTGTACCCTTTGTGCAAGGGAGCTATCTGTCTTCTTTCACTCAGTGTAATTATTTTGAGATCCAATCATATTGTTTTATATATCAATATTTGTTTCTTTTAATTTCTGAATATTATTCCATTATGCAAATATGCCACAGTTCATTTACTCATTCATCCGTTGATGAACAGTGGGTTTGGGCTAGTACAAATAAAACTTTGTATAGACACATACTTTCATTTCTTTGGGGTGATTACCTAAAAGTGGAGTGTTTCAGTCATATGGTAGATGCTGGTTTAACTTTTTAAGAAACTGTCAAACTGTTTTTCAAGTTTATTGTATTATTTAAAATTTCCACCAGAAGTGGATGACAGTTCCAGCTTCCCTACCACCTCAGCAGCACTTGGTATGATCAGTCTTTCTAATTTTAACCTTCTTGGTGTGTGTATAGTGGTTCATTGTGGTTTTAATTTGCATTTCCCTAATAATTAATGATGTTAGACATACAAATATAAATTTTTTCCATTTGTATAAATCTTTGTTGAAGTATCTTTTCAAATCTTTTGTCCATTTTTAAAATCAGGTAATTCATCTTCTTATTATTAAGTTTTACAAGTTTCCTTATGTTAGAGATAAAATCCCTTGTGGATATACATGTTGCAAATACTCTCTCCAAGTCTGTTACTTACCTTTCCTTTTCCATAACAGAGTCTTTTGAAGAGAAAAAGTTTTTTATTTTAATTAAATCTATTTGGTTTATTCATTTGGAGAATTTCCTTACTTTCTAGAAATCCCAGAACTGCATTTTTTAAAAGTTTGCTTTAATTTTTCTAGGATCTAATTTTATATTGGTGAAGGGTCTTTCTGAATATTTAGTCCACCCATGTACTCCAAAGCAAATGTCTCATGTCTGTTTACTACTTCTATCTAATACCTCCTCCAGTTCTACAAGTTTTACTGTTTTGAAGACACTATTGAACTCTGTTGGTTTCCTTTTTCATAGGAAATTGCTAGTTTCCAAAGCCCTTTTCACGATGTCTTCTTGGAGCCAAACTTATATTGCAGAGAATATTTCCTCAGCCAGAAAGTGTGTCTCTGTAAGATAAACAGTTGCCTGAAGGGTGGATGGGGTAAAATATTTATTTTATTTAAGAAATGTCAGTTAATTAAAATCTCATCCATCAGAGTTTACTTTAGTCGATATGAAGCCAAACAATTTGCCTTACAATTAAATTAAAATTATCCAAACAGTCTGGACGCCATTTCATTAAAGCGTTCCTGGGCTCCCATGAAACATGTTGGCATTCTGAATGCATCTGGCTGGCTTGATTGCTGCTGCCTTTTCTTCAGATATTAAAATTATTTTCCAATAAATGCTAATGGGTGAATTACAGTAATCACACATGCTATCTAGTCTGTTGCAGTGGTGTTGAAGTAATGCAGACACTTATAATGTCTTTCTCCAGTAAATTAACAAATCTAGTTGTAATTAACTGCTGGCTAGCCAGACATGCTTCCTGCTGTTGTTATTTTCAAATGTCTTCCTCTCTCACTGTCCTTGAATTTAATGATCACGTTTGAAACCAACAACAGGGGAATTTGAGAGAAATGAATGCGTCTACTCCTTGCTTGGTTAGGGCAATGGTTCAGTTCTTCATGTTAAGAATACATGGGGAGAAATGCTGGTCTTTGACAGTTGATACTTCTTTCTAGCATTCAAGTCTGCAAACCAGAGAGTGCCAGACATGGGAGGTGGAAACTGAGGCACAAAGAGACGATATGACCTGCTTTTGGTTGCATGCCTCATAAATGGAGATGCTGGTCTCCAGTCTAGAGAGGAAGAACTTGCTTTCCCAAACTGGGGAACTACAAGGTCTACTGTTCAGGGCCCATTGCTCTACCTAGTGTGGTCCTTGTCCCCCAGTGTTTGAAATAATAGAAACCAAGAAAGATGATGGCCATGAGATCATTCAGTGATTTCTTTTTAGTGCCTCAAACCATTATTCAAATACATACATGATCAGCTTAGTTAATTAATAAGCCAAACTGGCTGGTCAATTTAATCAAAGATGTGGATTTCATAATGCTATGTTGAAGCAGCCTTGTTTTAGATAATGGCTGAAACAAAATGGAAGTAGGTCATCATAATTCAAACTATGTGAGTGTTGCATCCAGACAGTGTTGATATTGTGACGATTTCTTACCTAACTTTATTCATTTTTTTTCTTTCTCTCCTTTCTCTGCCTTCCTTCAGTGATAAAGAACAGTGAGTATTTTATAACTTATTTATTTATTTTTTTTACAAACTGTATTTTATCTCTTTTTCTGATCAAGGTGGCTTGCCCCTGAAGAGAGATGGTTAAAAAAGGAACTAGCAAATTTTAAATATTTTTTTAAAAAGGTAAAATATAAAAAATACCCACACCCACCTTAGGAAAAAATACTTATTAAAAAAAAAAAAACCTCACACCAAACTTGATAAAAGGATACAAGATATTTCTTAGCCCTCAATTCTTGTTAGTGATGTGTAGGATTTCAGCAAGTTTATTGGCCACTCAGTGCCCTTGTTTCTGCAGCATTTTGCTAGGGACCACTGTTCTGCGATAAGGAAAATGTTAACTCTAATACCTGCTACCATGAATAAAAGATGATGATGAACAGGCCAGGGCTCTGGATTGTTATGTGCTGTACATTTGGTCTTTGTCACCTCATCAGAGGTCATCCTGATTTCCCAGCAAAATACCTTTGACGCAGAGGCCCTATCTTTTCTCACAACTTTTGTGTTTTTAATTGGATTCATTTCCTAAATACGCATGACAGATTGGATGCCGGGTCCAATAAATGAGCAGCCAGACTGCAAAGCAGCCCCATCTTCAGTTGCGTGCACACATTCAGAAACTATGGAAAGTCATTTTTACCTCCCCTCCCCGCAATCATGGGACTCTGGGACTCACGGTCCCTGTGGCCTGGGACACAGCCTTCACCTCCTTGAGTGTTGGTTATCTTGTTTGTAAAATAGGCACAGTAACCCTGCCCCTCCCTCCTCACTGGCTGGTGGTGGGATCAAATGAGATGTTTGCAGGAAGCTTCATCAACTGTAAAGCTTAACCAAGCAAAGTTAGATGAAGGTGTGAATTACAGCCTTGCCTTACCCTTATGTTTATATAGAAGACTCTTGCACAACTTTTTCAGCCTTTTTGGACCCAAATAACCACATTATCAGACCCAGAATGCTCTAAAGATTTAGTTATCACGGCTAATATGTAGCCAGGAGACCCAGGAAAACTCTTCTCCCTGCCCTGTGCCTCAGTTTCTCCATCTGTCAGATGAGAGCTTTCAACAAGCTGCCTTGTAAAGACTATTTGAATGCTCTACAAGCTCTGTTGTTGGCTGACAGGACCCTGGACAGGCAAGATCTGCTTTCTATGAAATCATGAGTATATTATTCAGACATGCTGGAGAGAGATGCTGGGTCATTGTCAGATTACAAATATGAACATCACAAGAGAGAAGTTCATGACTCCAGAGGCTCTCAAGGCTCTTAGAGGTTTCACGAATGCTGCAGGTTGAAAGGTAGCATGTTCATCCTCTTCCCCTCTGTCCTTCATCCCCAAGATCCTCCCCTCCCTCCCTCCTCCCTTCCCTCCCTCTCTTCTTCCTCCCCTCCCTTTCTTCCTCCCTCCCTCCCTTCCTTCCTCCCTTCCTCTATTAATAAACACTTACACCGAGTACCTACTAAATACCAAGCACCATGCTAAGCACCAGGGACGCAGTTAGCCAAGTATAAATGTATGTCTAGTGGAGTCTACAAACAAATAAAGGGCCAGTCACCAACAAATACACTCTGGTATGTACGGAGCTATAATCATAGAATCACAGTGGACTGTGGAGCACAAAGACAGTCACCTGGCTCAGACCTGAGGGTGATGATGGAGAGCTTCCTGGAAGAACTGATGTGTAAGCTGAGACCACGAGAGGGAGGAGCACTAGGTGGAGGAGACAGAGGAGCTCCCGGTAGGGGACATGGCATTTGCCAAGCCCAACTGTGAGAGACAACATGGCATTTTATAAGAACAGAATGGAATTCAGTCTGGCTAAAAAGGTTAACAGGAGCCCCAGGTCCCCTTGGCATTCTGAGGACGTGGGGGACCCACAGCATCCCTTCTGCACCCCCCATTAGTCTGGATGGGGTAAATTTCATCCAAAGGGGCCTTTATACCAGGTAGTCATGGGCAAAACATTCTGTGGTGTAGCTGCCCCTCCTTTCCTTCAGGATTCATTAAAATCCCATTCACTGTGCTCTAAAGAGACGTCCTGCAGACACCTGCCCATGTTGGCATCCAAGGGGAAGGCAGGGAGAGAAGAAGAAAGAAAAGAAAAAGGATTAATTTTCTGCACACCTCTGCTGTTGAATGCTTCAGAGCTTTCATGCCCCGACAGCTTTTCTATCATCCCACTCCTTTAGGGAGTTATAATTTATTAATAGGGACATCTGGCGAGTATTTATTATGTGACTATTGTGTGCATGCAATGAAGAATCAAGGTGGGAGGCAGGAAAGATATGGGAGGCTGCCCTTTGCAGTATTTCAAGGGGAAACATCTATGAGGGGCTTCCATCTGGAGTTGGGGCTAATTTCCTTTTGTGTTGGGGTCCACTGATGCTGGCCTTGGTGGGTGGCTTCATTCTGACCCCCTCGTGGTGCACCTGAGCAGGTGCCTTCTGGTAGCAGATGAAGCACATCGAGAAGGCTGGTTTCTCAAGTCCTGGACCATCCTCTCTCTACTCATGATTCTCGGCAATTCCCTTTCTCCTTGTGAGTCTCAGGCATCTGGGAAAATGAGCAGGTTACCTACAGTGGTCTTTAGACTTTTTCTTAGCAGTAAAAGTCTTTCTTTGAATAATACTTTATTCAGAAGCCAAATATTTGAGACAGATAAGAGTGGAGCTGGATAAAGACCTTTAGTGGCTGAAAGCATTAAAAATAGTATGGTAAACATTATACAACTGGAATTTAACATAATGGTAAACTGTAAAATAAGTGTAGGAAGTCTAACAAGTTTCACTCTTTTTTTTCTTTCTTTTTTTTTTTGCCATGGTGAAAAATGTATCAGTTAGCTTTTGCTGTGTAACAAACCATCTTAAAACTCAGTGGCTTAGAACTTGTTAGTTACTTGTTCTCAGGCATCTGGGCTTGGTAACTGACTCTATGGACTTTGGCTAGGCTCATTTATGCATCAAAGGGTTGGCTGATCTAAGATGACCATGTCTGGAATGATACATTTCTTCCAACATGATATCACATGCGTCACCTTCCAACAGGATATCCTGGGTTTTCCCATGGTGATGGCAGGGTATAAGAGTAAACAGAAACACACAAGGCCTTTGGAGGCATTGCCTCTGGACTAGTGCAACATCACTCCCCTGCATTTTATTGCCCACAGCAAGTCCTAAGTCTGGGCTAGATTTAAGGAGCAGCAAAACAGATGCTAGAGCCAGGCGTGGTGGCTCATGCCTGGAATCCTAGCACTTTGGGAGGCCGAGGTGGGCAGATCGCTTGAGGTCAGGAATTCGAGACCAGCCTGGCCAACGTAGTGAAATTCTGTCTCTATTAAAAAGACAAAAAACTACCTGGTGCACGCCTGTAGTCCCAGCTACTCAGGAGGCTGATGCAGGAGAATTACTTGAACTCAGGAGGTGGAGGTTGCAGTGAGCCGAGATTGTGCCACTGCACTCCAGCCTGGGCAACCAAGTGAGACACAATCTCAAAAAGAAAGAAGAGAAAATAGACCCTGACTTTTCGGTGATCAATTTCAAATTCACATGGCATAGGGCATGTATACAGAGAAGAGTGAAATATTGGGGCCATCCTTACAATAAACCATATTTCATGCTTCTACTAAAATACTACCTATTAATTTTTTTCCCCAATGTTTGTCTCTTTTTTTCTTTCTAAATTTTTAAATTTTTTTATGGACATAAAATAGTTTACATATTTTTGGGGTACATGTGATATTTTGGTACTATATACAATGTGGAATAATCAAATCAGGGTAATTGAAATACGTATCACCTCAAACATTTATCATTTATTTGTGTTGAGAACATTTTAATTCTAATCTTCTAGTTATTTTGAATATACAATAAAATATTGTTAATTATAGTCATCCTATTCATTGTGCTACCAAATATTAGATCTTATTCCTTTTATCTACGAGTATTTTTGTACCCATTAACCATCCCGACTTTATTCCTTCCTCTCCTGGAAATGCAAATTCTCAAGTCCCACCCCAGACCTTCTGAACCCAAATTTCTGCAAAGGGCCCAGAAATCTGCATTCTGGCTAGCTCACCAAGTGAATCTTAGGCATGCTAAAGTTTGAGAAGTGATGAACTCTATCACAGGCCACCCCTCTGCACTGCCCAGAGGCTTTTATAGGTTCAGACCAGTACCCAGATAGGGTTTATGTTATCTTTTCCCAGTAAAGGTGTTTAGGTTCTAGAGTGGGCAGTAAAGTGCCTTCTAAAATAATAGGTGTACTTTGGGTAGGGGCATACAACCAATTCACTGCTTCCACCTCAAAGGCAGCTCTGAGCATTTCTTCCTGCAGCCAGGACGTGGCACATTGTTCTTTTCAGATTAGCTAGTGGTAGACAGGCCCTAGAGAGCCCCCAAGTTCTTCATCATCTGGGGGAACGTGCTTGTTTCCATCCCCATTCACATCACACATACCATCAGCATTTTAAGCCAGTGATGGGCTCTTTGTGTCTCTATACTTTACATTCCCCTAATTAGACCAATCTACTGTGATGCTCAGAATGAAGCCCTATTAAGCTTCATGTGGTGATGCACACCTCTAGTCCCAGCTACTTGGAAGGCTGAGGTGGGAGGATTGCTTAAGCTCAGGAGCTCAAATCCAGCATGGACAACATAACAAGACCTTGTCTCTTAAAAACAAAACAAAACAAAACAAAAAACACCTCATTGGAAAAAATATACAAAAAAGATATTTGGAACCAACAGTCAAAAGTTCCTGAGATTCAAGCTTCCTCTAAACTGAAGAGCCACGAATAATTAAGATGAGGGGGGCAGGGGGTCTGGAAGAGTTGACTATGGCCTGGGAGATAGAACATGAGATTGGACCATCTGGCTGCCTTTTAGAAAGGCAGGATAGCATGGTGGCTCAGAGCACAGGACATCCCCCCTGGAGTTGGCTTTGCTACTTCAAGCTGTGCAGCCTTAGGCAAGTGATTAACCTCTCTGAACCT